TCCGAAGGTTTTCCATAGTTTTCCCAAATACCGCGTTATTCATAAGCTTGTAGAAGTCAATTTCGAATTTATTCTTTGCCTTGGTCCTCATGTTAGTGTTTAAATCGATGTATGGTTTCATCCACGGTTTTTGAGAAAACTCAAGAACCCGATGTATATTTTTTAGTTTCATTCCGAGGTTGAGATACTGTTTTAAATTTCTGTAGTGTACAACGTATCTAGATCGGTCGTACAAAGTGGTGACTAGTTTGGGTATTTTTGACCCAGGTGGAATCATGTTGTGAGGTGCCAGTGGAAAGTCTGCATGGTGGTCATGAATTTCTTCAGGATACTCGAGGTCAACTTCGAGAATGTAGCCGGTGGCCGCGTCATCACTGATGTCTAAAACATTTATTTCAGTATCTTTTCGCCATCTAAAGTCACCGAATGGCATTGCCTGCGACATAGCCCAAGCATATAGGTTATTCGCATCTAAGTACACCAGGTAGCTAGGTTCTTTGTTCTCATCGAAGCCTTGACTCATGTACTTGTTGTTGGCTCGAGCTTGTCTCAAGCAACACTGCGAAACACCTCCACGAATTCCTTTTTCAACCATTAGAATCATATCGAGGTCGGTTAGTAACTGGAGCTCTACATCAGTGAGTTTCAGCATCGCCGACCAAGCTAATCCGGGAGCTGTGAAGTACCACGCTGGGTCGAGACTATATGTTTGAAGGCAAACGTCTCTGAAGTTGTCCATAATGTCTGCCAACTGGAGGACGTCAATCTTGTTGTAAAACAATGTGTACTCTCTCATATCTTTAATGTTGAACTCATCCCAAACCTTTTGAGCATGCTCATAATCTAATTCTGATACATCACACTTATTTAATTTGTTTTTGAAATCATGAAGTTCCGGCAGAGTTGTCATATCATATTTTGTTATGTTATCCATGAAGTCATAGGGATAAACCCCTTTTCTTGTTACCAAGTCTATCTGTGATGATCTGACAAATCTCTTTGTATGCTCCAACTGATCTGTAGTTAAATTGTTAATCAGTTGGTCTAAACTTGCACTTAAAAACTTAAAAGAGTCCAAGAATCTCAGTTCCAACCCTCCCCTAACTTGAACGGTGAATGATATATACCGCTCATCATTTTGCGGAATCACTTGGAGTTTCTCACCTTGTCGTCCTATTTCTTTGATGAACTGATGTATGTCATAGCCAGAAAGGTTGTGCAAGAAAACAGGAATAAATTTGGGCTTAGTAAACAATAAGTTACATTTGGAATGGGCAGGGCCTCGATACAAACCGGTGAGGTGGTCGTGATCCCTTACTTTGTCGGTTTCATTGAGAGGTTCCTGGCAGATGTGACAGGTTACCGCTTCTTTATGTCTACGTATCTCTTCTTCCTGCAATGGTTTCATTGGAATGATCTTTTCGTAGATTTGTTTTATCTCCACGGCCTCCTTTTTCAACGCCTCGACAAATTTTCGTCCAGCATCTTCCCCGAAATATGTCGTTGGAGGCTTTTCACTGCCAGAGATATAGTAACAGAAACTTATAGCTTCGTGTTTCTGATAGCTGTATGTGTACGATCTCTTAGCACCGTTTTCATCAACTCCCGATGGTTCACAAGTAGAAATCGGGAGGAGCATGCTCTCCAGATCGGCATAAATGACATAAGGAACTTTCATTGATTTATTGTGTTCTGTAAATCTTATTTTGTCATTTTTTCCAGCGGTAGGGAGCTTTATTTTTACGGCATCATGTCTAGAGCAGTCCTCCATATGTGTCTTCAAATTGTCTTCGTTATGAAAGTGCTGAAGACAACGTCTGCATATATAGCATTTTCTATTATGTTTTGTAGCTTGACTGTGAACTAAACGAGATAGGTTTTTGATTAGACAGTAGTGTGAGTTCGTTCCATCTTTAACCAACAACAGGTCTACATGCACGGGCTTTTCTTCATCTGTTACACACAAGGGAAAAACATCACTATTTTCTTCAAGACCGTATACATTGATCGATAATCCTGCACGCTTTTCGAATTTTTTTACATCAGTCAGTTTGACTGGAAAATCTATCCCATCAAATAACTCGAGAAATCCATCAACATAAGCAGTGTAGCTTTCGATCCGCTCCGGGTGTACCTTTGAAGGGTGGAGTGCTGCTAGACAACACCACATGAAACAACGCTGATCATTGTTTTTTTATGTTTACAACAGCACGTTTCAAGCGAATTTTTTCTGGCAGGGCTATGTAACTAGACCCTTTCAAAGGCTTAAGTCGGTTGATATGTAAAAGAAGACATTCAATCGTTTTCATGTTCCAATTGGAGCCTTTGTGGTTAAAACTTTCCATCTCAGTCAATAGTTTTTGTTTTGCCTCATTTAACAAATCTGATAGATTAGAATCTTCGTAAATGATGATGTTTTTCGTTTTGAATTCAAAATCAGATTCGACTTTTTCCGTAATCCCTTTAGCGAACTTTGCCTTAAGGATAAGTTGGATTTTCAATGAAGTTCCCTCATCACGAACCTTTTCAATTATAAGTTTTTTGGAATCTTCGATAAAAGTTTCAACACTTTTGTAACCATTTACTTTGACATTATTGATCTCAAACGTCTTCATTCGACCTCTGAACGCCGTTTTAGATTGGATGATTTCAAGATTAGGTGGTGGCGGAGGCTTACGTGGGACTTGCACTATGATGGATGGCCGAACTATGATGGATGGCTGAACTATGACGGATGGTCGGTTTAGTTGCTGTTTTTGTATCCACGCCGCTTGGTGAGCTCCACTCCCAGTATGACGGGCCCAGTTTTTCCTAGTAATACTGAGGTGACATACATCACAGAACTTTAATGTTTTTGTATCGGCTCTCCTGACAGGTAGAACCTGCACGACATCCGAAACATCTTCTTCCTGCTCTTGAATGTCCATCATCTCACTAGCACCTTGTAGTTGTTCCGAAATATCCAACTCACTATGTTGGGCTCGACGACGCTTCGGTGATATAGGACAGGTCTCGTTATCGCTGTCGTTGTCAGTAGGAAACGACCGCTTGGTAGCACTTTGAACAACCGGTGACACATGATGTTCTCCGTCAGAGACCGAGGCAACATCCAAGCGGTGTTCTTCCCTAGCACCTTGTTGTTCCTCAATATCGTCTTTATAACGTTGGAACCAACGACGCTTCGGTGGTGTAGGAAGGCTGTCGTCATCACTCTCGTTGTCACTAGGAAACGATCGCTTCGTAGCACTGACACTAGCCATCACCGCAAATCCTCGTCACACTTATAAATGGTTGAAAACTTACTTTTCACGCACTACACAATTTCAAAGACTCGAAAAATAGCACCTCTCACAACCACCTCTCAGAGAAGACTGACGCAAGACCGCGCGGGCTGTTGCACAATCGTCGAAACACATGACCATATATGGTAATGTTCTCGAACGTTCCAAGATGATCACGTGACCTATCACGTGGCATTTCCTTTTATGGTAATGTTTCTAGAACATTCCATGATCACATGATCCCAAGACAAGTGACGTCACTAAACACGGAACGACTCAACTCAAAAGACACGTAAAAATCAACATGAAAACAATGAGTTTCAAATGGCGTGTCAGTATACATTGAGATCGAAATACTGCATCTTCATACAAATCCTCTAGTGAAAACATGAGCACCGAATGATGCAATCGGCGCCATTTTTGTGCAGTTGAGAACCTATTGGTGGTCCTATATAAAATGAGATTCAAAAGCTGTTGTCGTTTTCGATCTCAGCCGTGAGATCCTATTATACGACAAGTATACCAAATGAGAACTGATTTAACGTTCTTTATATCTACACAAAAAAAAGGTCATCCAAATCAGAGGATCAGTCTCTGTCTGTAAGGTTAGGTTAGGTTAGGCAAAGTGAGGTTACCTACCTCAACCCACGTGGTCTACACTCCTCCCTCCTCTGTCCTAGAACGTACAAAATCACTACTACTCCCTGCGTATATACTACTTTATAAACTACCATTCTCTCTGATGGTCATGGAAACCCTCTGATTAACCTCTACAGTAATTAATGTCATAAACGTCTTCCGTGATCGCAAAAGTATGAACATCTCCCACGATCGTGTATTGACATTATCGTTGTCTTCGGCGTTCGCAGCTACATTCTGATCATCTCCTGCAGACATCTGTCTTCCGCAGTCACAGCAAAAAACCGAATAACCCCCGCAACGGAACGAAAAACGGAGAACCGACTACCTATAGCTCTAATCCGTATATAGAAGTTTGGTTAGGTTAGATTATATAAATATGGCCCCTGAATATACGACCGGTGGCTGGGACCCCTACGCTCCAACGGAACATCAGCACCGTCTTCCATCATCGCGGGAAAATATTGTTCATTTCCTACGGTTGTGTGAACATCGTCATTATCTCTCGTGGTCACAGTAAAACCTTGAATAACCCCATGGTCACAGGAACGTCACCATCGTCTTTCACGATCGCAGCAAAATTTTGATAATTTCCCGCGGCTGTGTAGACATTGTTATTGTCTCCCGCGGTCACAGCAAAACACCGAATAACAATAAACCCGCAAAAGAACATTAGCATCGTCTTCAGTGATCGTGGCAAAATATTGTTCATTTCCTGCGGTTGTGTGGATATCGTCATTGTCTCCGTAATCACGGCAAAATCTTGAATAACCCCCGTGGTAACGGAACATCTTCATCGTCTTCGCCGATCGCTGCAAAATTTTGACATTACTGTAATAAAAAACATATGCCCGAGGGGAGGGGGCAGTCTCCCCACCTCCGGATCTGCCACTGCTTTATCCTATGTAAGATATTTTATTGAGGACTGGAAACCTGTACTGCTAAAATGCTCATTGCACATTTCACCTATACTTTTAGGCCCTAAAAGTATATATATTATAAGAAGTACATACATAGTGCATGAAATGTGTCATATACGGATTTTCTAAATTATAACCAAACAGGGCAATAAAACAAATGTTTAGAAAACATGTAAAATTTATATATATATACAAAATACAAATTACAATACTGAAGTAAAGAAATAACAGTCTTATTGAAGTAAAGCCTCAACATTTTGAGTAAGACGCACCACTAGGGTAAAATTAAGGCACAAGAGTAGTTAACATAATTGTAACAGCTGATACAACAAGTTTTGTATTATTTTAATTATACAAAAATACTCTGTACAACAGTTTGTAATAGTTACAACAAAGAGAATAGGTAAACAGTTGCAAGAAATTTTCATTTTTAATAATCAATAATCAGTTTTGAAAAATCTGAGTAATTACAAAATAACACATCTATTTAGTATTTATGGCAATGGTTATTGGCTTCATACATTTATTCTAAGCTATAATTGAGCAATTAGAACTTATAACATGTTAGCTGTAGGTCAGGTTCTACTACACAGGGATGCTGACTTTATTTGCATGATCTACAATCCAATTTTCAGCTTACGAATTTTTATTAGCAAAATGTATCAATTCAAGAATAAGAAAGATCACAGATATCGATGCATCTTATTTCAGGAATTAGATTTGATAAACATATTGTAAACATTTGAAACCCTTTGGGACGGTTGAATTTTTTACATAGTAGCAAATGTATTATTTAAACATTATTTTCTAAATCTATTCCTTCAAACTATAAAACATTAAATGAAATATGAAAAGTAATAGTTCTAAATAAGGCAATTGAGAAATTGTCAGAAGGTTGTACTATGTTAACCACATTGGAACCCTCATTGTGGAGACAAAATACAAGATATTGTAGTTTCACACTATCTTAAAACGTTAAGTTAGGCCTTTAGAATGGCAGTAACACTGTCCCTAACTCTTCAAACAAAAAATAAACATAGAAAGTTGAAACAATGCAACTCGATCATGTTTGTTTGATTTTTGTTACCCATTTTTCCACTGATTTGTTAAGAAAATTCTACTTACATTAGACAATAATTATAGTTTGATACTGAACAAATAATATAATAGAGTATACATATATAAATTATTAAAATACAATTTAGTGCTTGCTCAATCCCATCAATAATAAACCATTCAAGGACTTAATTTACATCTATCAATGTTTGATATAAATCGTCAAATATTTAAATAATTTACTTACACAAAATAAAAATTTCATAGAGAAAAAATCAAATACTTCATACTAACTGTACTTACATTTTATATGACCAATGAATAATAACAAATCCCATTATTATTCATCTATTCATTGCAATAGCTACACAAGCAATAGTTTTCAAGAAGCCTTGAAGAAAGAGTGTACTTTTATACTCACAAAAAGTAGAATAAAACAAGAATATGTTTTCCTAATGGATCATAATTAATAATTCCAAAATCTACGAGAGAAAACAAAAAAAAAACATTGAACTCTTTTGGAAACCAGAACATCCAAAACAAGAGGGTTTAACATTTTTAATGTTTTCTGTGTAAAGATTTCTCAAGAGCTCAAATAACAATTTATAATGTTTAAGCTTCATAATACTGACATACGATATAAATACTAAAATATAGCCTATGTAAACTACAAAGTAGAGGTGTGCAATCTTGAGAATTATAATCAAGCCAAGCTTTTGTACATAATAAAAGAGTCGCATCGTCATATACAGATAATTAGTCTCTATTCTCTTAATCAAAATGCAGTTTCATTTTAATGCTATGATGGAGAGTTAATACAAGTGTGATGAGACAAGACACTGAGTTTAAAATAAATTTCATCAAACTTATTATTTTTTTAGAAGTCAAAATTTTATGACATCATTACAGTCAAATACTAAGAACTCAAATAAACATATTAAAAATAAATACCTTAACTTATTAAAATATATTATTGAATGGAAAGAAACTAAAATATATTGGTTTGACAACCAACAAAAAATAAATAGGAGAGGAATTCCCCTTCTGGGAATTTTAGTTCAACAAGTGATCTTCTTAGATGCTTTCCGCAATCGCGATACATGTTTGGCTTGATCCTCTTTTACAATTAAGCCTCTCGCACACTTCTACTAAAAAGTGATTATCAGTTTTTCTAAATCTATAAAATAAAACTATAGGATCAAACTCTGAGTTATGTAGGATGGTTTGTTCATTTTATGAGTCCTCTGACCATAATTAAACTAACAAAATACACAACCATGAGGTTTTCACGTAAGCAACATGATAAAGCTAGATCCTTGATAAAGTGACTATTGCAAATGCTTGTATTATTTTATTTGTTTATGGAGTATTATTTTAACTACGCTCTCTATTAGCTAACCTTAAATAGTAAATTCTGTACAACTATACACAAGTAATGCATTATTACAGCAACTACTTTTGATAAATCTCTTATTTATAAGGCCATTGTTGGCTGAGCTAGTTATATAAACAAATCTCATACAGATACAAATACAAGACTAAAAGGAACTTAGTACAAAAATGTTCTTTTGTTACTTGATTACACTATAAAACTGATCGTTTTGATCACATGATATACACACAAAGATTGATTTTAGCACTTCTGAGCTGCTGATAATATCACTTTGTTCACATTAAGTCAAGACCATCAAGTTTTTTGTTTTAAGTACACCAAGTTGTCACAACCGTACTTAATATTAGAGTATATACAACCTAACTATTTAAACCATGTAACTTCACTTAAACTAAGATTTACAAGGAGCAATATTTTTTGGTCATATAAAAATTGTCCTATAAAAAGTTGCAAACTTATTTCAAACATTGTAGAATGGTAAAAAAACTAACACTTCTAATCAAAGTTTTAGAGTCATATATAAAATTTAACTTGGTTTGTGTATAAATATAAAAATAGTCGTTTATCAATCATCATTGTGTTGTTTTGATATATTATAGTGGATGTCAAAAATCCTTTCCTAGGCATTGTGGTTTATCATACAACATATTAGTGATGTGTCAAAACTGAAAAATCTCAAAAATATCAACATTTTGGAAAAGTTTTAGTTTGGAGGTTTGATCAAAGAGTTTTGTGATTCAAAACCAAACAGCCATAATTGATTGTACCATTATTATTGTTTATTACAGAAAATACACTGTCAGGAGTTCAATTTATTTCAGTGTTTGTTGTTTCTAAATAATGATGTTTTTATAGGTTTAAAGAAAGTAATAATCTCGTTCTTGTTTCATTAGTGTCAGGAGTTTAGTTTGCAATAGTGTTTTTTAGCTTGAAAGTGGCCTAATCAGTCAAAAATTCAAGAGTGGCTGTCGGGGGTCAAATTGCTTTCAATTTTTGATTTCACAAAAACATTTTATTATTACCAGTATTTTTTCTAACCTTATCTAGGCAAGTAAAAAGTTCCATGTTTAGGTTTTGAGATTTCAAATTTCTAGTTTTGACTGTCAACAAACAACACTTGGTGACAACCACAACAACGGTGGTGACACGGTGACGGGTGACAAGGTCTATGAGCAAGGTTCCATGGCCATATGTACAGTGACAGGAGCCAGTACAGGGTTAGGTAGGAGGGTGTGGTGAGGAGGGGGTGTCTCAGGAAGGGAGTGTGTTGTTGTAGGGGTAGGAGGTGGTTCTGTATCCTCGTGAGGTGTCATGGTAGAATAGCCGTGGTCACTGTCCCCCGTGGCTGGTCTACGGTATCCAGCACTCATACGGTACGGAGACACAGAGCTGGCCGGACTGAGAAGAGCCACACTCAGCTCCTGAGCGTTGGACACTAGTCCTTGGTTTGCCCCTGCAACAATCACACAATAGAAAACACTGGACTAGTCATTTAAGGAAGGACATGACATAATATTAATTTTTAGTTCAACACATTACTAGAAATCCAAGGATAACGCGGTCACGGAAAATCATAATCGTACTCCGCAATCGCGGCAAAAGCGTAAAATTTCCGTAGGTGAAATAGTTGCAGAATGCATGCTTTCTGAAATTTCTGGAATAGAATCTGGATTTCGGGAACAATCCAATTATCCGAATTCCAGTCCTAATTGATTCGGATGATTGGAGTTCTACTGTATTATATTTTTATGTCTCAAATAGATGCAATCTATAATGACATTTTATTGCAAAAAATATCTCAACAACATTAAATACAATCGTGTTTTTAACCATCAATAGTATTAGTATTAGAAAATTCCGAGATTGTGTATCCAATAGAGCAAACAATGTCACATATGTGTTTACTGGTTTAGGCTGGTTTAATCAAAACACAAGGCTAAGTAGGCCCAAGTAATATTAATTTCACGTATCTAGCAAGACTCTATCCTTAGCCTACCTGTAGGTGGATCCTCTAGCATCTTGTGATGACTCTTGTCCATAGAGAACATGTAAAGAGAGCAGTCAGGGGCAGAGTAGCTTGGTCCCGTGGTTGGTCTAGCGCTAACCTTGTAGCAGCAGTAGACCATGAGGCCGAGAGCTAACAACAGTGCTGCTACCACACCAGCCACTGAGCTTAACCCCACCACTCCTGTCTGCAAGCCTGCATCCTCTATAGCTCCTGACAACCCAGAAACATACATAAATACCACTGAGTGCTAAGGTGTCTCTTAAAAATAATTTGTGGTCCTCAAGTGACAGCATTGCTAAATTCGATCATTATTATTCACCGTCGTGTCATGATAAGTAAACTGGGCGGAAGTCAAGTCATCATGAAGATAGCAATCTACATTGAGGCTGAAATGTAGATGAATAAAAATTAATTGTCAAAATTGACACTGTAGTCGCATGAATACCACAATTCTATAATAAGTAATTGCTTATCGAGGAAGATAAATTCATAAAAGTTTTTGTATACTAGTGAAACATACTTATTTTGTACGACAACTAGGATTTAACAAGATCAATGTGCCAGCTAAGCATATTTCCTTTTACCACTCCTACTCCCTCATCACCAATTCCCCATGGGCTGGTTTCCACTCATCACATTCTCTCTACCAAATAATTTATTTGTCTCAGTGCAAAATCTACTTATTGTATGAACACTGTTGCCATTTTATTTTGTTTTAGCGAATTTCCCTATAGGGAAGTAGCTATTACCGTAGGAGGAACGGTAAGTCCTAGGCCCAGGACCGATTTACTTTTTCATTTTGATGTCCTCAAAGGCCAAAAACACCATTCGTTCGAATTTTTATAAATATATATATGTTAGAGGTGTGTGGATAGTATAATTTCAGTTCGGATCGGATTCGGTTTGGATAGTTAAGGCTCGGTTTAAATCGGATCAGATAATTAGAGGTTCAGATTCAAATATTTTCGGATTAGGATGGTTTGATGTTCAAGTTCTTAATAAATAAATATTAAGGTTAGGAGGTTATAATTTGCATTTTTATACACAAAAACTACCATGAATACTGCACAATTGTGATATTGTAAGTCATTAATCTTGGTTCAGTTATAAAAATTTAAGTTTAAATTCAAAGCTTACTCAAATTTAACAAAATGGTATATCGTACCTTATATCGTGATGCAAACATTTATATGGCAAGACAATTTGTAAGTGCAGACCTTGTATTATGACGCAATCAACTTATATGGCAAGGCAATGTCTCAGTGCAGAACTTGTATTATGACGCAACCAACATATATGGCAAGACAATGTCTCAGTCCACACCTTGTATTATGACGCAATCAACTTTTATGGCAAGGCAATGTCTCAGTCCAGACCTTGTATTATGACGCAATCAACTTTTATGGCAAGGCAATGTCTCAGTCCAGACCTTGTATTATGACGCAATCAACTTATATGGCAAGGCAATGTCTCAGTGCAGAACTTGTATTATGACGCAACCAACATATATGGCAAGACAATGTCTCAGTCCACACCTTGTATTATGACGCAATCAACTTTTATGGCAAGGCAATGTCTCAGTCCAGACCTTGTATTATGACGCAATCAACTTATATGGCAAGGCAATGTCTCAGTGCAGACCTTGTATTATGACGCAACCGTTTTGTTTTGTTCTTTACGTGGTTTATTGCTATACAATACAGTTTTTAATTAGGTTTTAGGTGGGTTAGAGTAAGCTGTGATTTTAAACTTACAGTTTGTAACCTGGACTAAGGTCAATGACTAGAAATGTCATGATCATCACATCCCAACTTTGGAGGTTAGGTTTGATAAAGACGAAGATCATGGCCATGTATCTATGTTGTTTCCATTTATGTCTTTGTAAATATTTATATGTGATCAATGTGTGTACAAATTATACCATATTGACAATATCTCAAGCAAGAGATGGCAAACAAGAAGTTTAGCTAACCTATGAGACAAAGGACTGACGATAACGTTTCGACGTAGAAACCTAGGTCTCCAATATATAATAAATTGGATCGTAAGGTAAGCCTTAGATTTAATTATGTTCAATAAAAAAAAATAAAAAAATTGTAATGTATTTTGTTGATAAAAAATGTAATTGTGACATTAATGGACATTTTTAATTACACAATATTTCAGTGTTTTATGGTGTTTTCATCTTTTTATACCATGTTTTATACTGTGGTTTTTACTATCTGTGGTCTCCCTCCCCCTTTATTACCCCGGATAATCAAGGTTCTCCTTTACAATGTAAACACATCCCATCCTTGTCTAAAATAAACACATCCCGAAAATGTCGAATTTCTGGTGATGAAGATTGCTGAAAAAGTAGGTGTGAATTTGAGGGAGGAAGATATCGAAATTGCCCATCGCCTACCTAAAACTAAAACCGAGGACCGACCAGCAACAATTATAGCACAATTTGTCAGTAGGAAAGTGCGGAATAAAGTGTTGGCAGCGAAGAAGACTGTTGTCACTAATGCGGAGGTCACCGGGGAGAATGGGGGAAGAATCTACATAAGTGAAAATCTCTCCTTTTTCTACCGTAACCTACTAAAAAAGGCGAAGAAGAAGGCAAAAGGACTGAATTATAAGTACACCTGGTTCAAAAACGGGATGGTTCGAGTGAGAAAGGAAGACGACAGCAGTGTTATCCATATTGAAAATGAAGCAGACTTAGAGAAGATAAAGTAGTGTTTTAAAAATGTAAGTCCTAGTAGATATATTTTTATTAAATTTTTTCCATGGTAGATTGTATTGTAGAGGAAGAAGAAATTAAATCTATCTGTTGTCAGGATATATTAGAACTGACATCTCTTAGTAGAAACAGTAAGTTTGAAAATGGTGCTAATTTTTTTCATTTAAATATAGCATCTTTAAAAAAGCACTGGAATGAATTTGTATTACTATTTAATAACTACATTAAGTACCTGGATGTAATTGTTTTTACAGAAGTTAATATAAAACAAAGCCTCACTGATCTTTTCAATTTGGATAATTTTGATGTTGTGTATAATTTAAGAGAACACAGTAAGGGTGGAGGCATTTGTGCTTTCATAAAAAAAGAACACACCATTAAAAAAATGCCATATGTACAAAAGACAAGTTTCGAGCATATGTTATTTGAAATTTATTTTGGGAGGATAGATATGTCTATTTGCATGTTAGCTGTTTATAAACCACCTAAAACTAATGAGAAAGTTTTCATAAATGAATTAAAAGAAGTATTAATAGATATTAAAAGTAAAAATGTTATTTCACTTGGAGATTTTAATATTAACTTAAAAGATAAACTTTGTAACAATGTGAATGAATATAAAAACCTAATGGCAGCCAATGGTTTAAAATCATGTATTGACCAGTATACTAGGGAGGAAGTAAGACAAGGAAAACTGGTTAGATCTCTTATCGACCATATCTACATTAGAGGAAACAACAGCAGGCCAAAGTCAGCTGTGGTCAAGATAAAGATATCTGATCACTACCCTTGCCTGTTGAATCTTCAAGTAGGAGAGGGAAACTTAAACCTGAATAATATTATTTCTAATAAAATACAACTAGATAAAAAATTGATCAATCTGGGCATAAAAAATATAGATTGGACAACACTAAAAAATTCAGGTCTTTCCTCAAATGACAGTTATCAACAATTGTACAATAGGTTTAATTCTATTTATGAAAAGGCTAAAATCACACGTACAGAACATAAAAAAAAGCCAAGAAAGGCCTGGATGAACTGGGATATAGTTAATAAGATTAAGAGACGAGATAAATTATTTAAGTGGATTAAGAAACATCCAGAGAATACAACCTTAATAAATGAATATAGAAATTTAAGGAATCTTATAAATAAAGATATATTTAGAGCAAAGGTAAAATATTATGGCGAGATTTTTGAGGAAAATAAAAAAGATATAAAAAAGACATGGGAAGAGATTAATATAGTTTTGGGAAGGAAGAAAAAGCAGAGCATTGATGAGATGGTACAAAAATATATGGTAAATAAAGGAAGTACTTTAAAACAGATATGTCATAATTTTTCAAACACTTTTACAACTGAAATAAATAGTATTGTTCATAAATGCCATGTTAAATTAATTGATGTTGAACAAACTGAGGAAATAATACAAAACACCTCTCTATATATCCCAAAAGCTAAAAAGCGAGACATAGAAATGATTTTAATTAAATTAAAGAAAAAAAGTCCAGGTATTGATGGAATTAGAGTAGATGACTTAAAAAAATGTAGTGCCGATGTCTCAGAAATTATAGTCAATATTATAAATAATTCACTTTCAGAGGGTAGAATTCCCACCAGACTTAAAACAGCTATTGTAAGACCAATTTATAAATCAGGATGCCACAATTTATATCAACATTACCGCCCTATATCAATATTATGTGCAATAGATAAAATAATGGAACGATACATATCCCTAAACCTAAACAGATATCTGACAGAGAATAACATAATAGATAAGTGTCAATATGGGTTTCAGAAAAACAAAAGCACAGAGTTATTACTGCAAGCATTTGCTAATAACGTAAATAAAGAGATAGATAAAGGAAATCAAATATTGGTTACATTTGTAGATTTTACAAAAGCCTTTGACACGCTGCAATTTGAAAAGATAATAGGATCGTTAAGGAGTATAGGAATTAAAGGTAGATTTCTTAATTGGTTTTCAGATTATCTGACATGTAGAAAATTGATAGTTAAAATAGAAGACATTACAAGTGAAGAAGTAGAACTTAAGTCAGGTGTGCCTCAAGGAAGTATTCTTGGACCTATATTATACATTATATATACAAATACCCTTCCCAAATATATTAAAAAGGCTAATACATACATGTATGCAGATGATACTGCTATTGTGGTTGCTAAGAAAGACATTAAAGAGGCTGAAGCAGATATGCAGAGTGCAGTAAATAACTTGTTAGAATGGTGTCATGATAATGGCCTTATAATTAACGGTAGCAAGTCAAAGGTTATTCATATTCATTCACCTGCTTTTCAGTGTTCCAAAGTAAATATTAAATACCACAGTTTTGACTGTTTACATTGCAACACTTACTCATTAGTTGATAATTGTAGTTGTAAAACTTTGGAAAATGTTAATAATTTTAAATATTTAGGTGTACATGTTGATCACAAATTTAAGTGGGACATACATATAGATTATGTTTGCAAAAAGATAAGATCATGTACTTTTAAACTGTTTCATTTAAAATGTGTCTTGCCATACGATGTCTTATTGTTAATATACAGGTCCTTGTGTGAATCTGTGATACGTTATGGTTTACGGGCTTGGGGTAATGCCTCAATGACCCATCTAAAAAAAATTGAAAATATTCAGGAACAAACAATCAGGAGTATTGTACCTTTAAATGCAAGTCAACTGCCACCATTGGAAATTTTTCGATACACCGATACTTTGCCTGTAAGTAAACTCTTCATGATCTTAATTTATACAGATTATTTATTTCAAAACGAGCTAAAACAGGTAAATAATCATAATTACAGGGTGAGAAGAAACTATTACAATGTTCCCAGATTTAAAAATAAATATGGTTGCAGGTCTCTAGAAGTCCTTGTACCAAAAATGTTCAACAACTTGCCAAATTATTTTTTTAATTTGACCACTTATCGAGCTTTTAAAACTAGTCTGAAAGAAAGAATGTGGAGTGGTTTAATATAGATACTGGTCTTTCTGTCAGTGAATGTTATCTGAATGTTTAAATTATTATCTATTTATATGCTTGTTTCAGGTGTTGGCTATATTTGTTTCTGTTTTGTTAGATTTATAAATTTTATAAGATATTGTTATTTATTTGTTATAGTCTATTGTGCTGTTTCTCATTGTTTCTTAGTAATACTATTTATTTATTGTTATTTATTTATTGTTGTTTTCATGAGATTTGGATTTGAACATCAGTGGTTTTTGGTAATATAATTATGCATGTAACTCTCAATGGAACACGTTGGGACACTCATAGAACTGTGTTGATTGCTGATTGAACTCAACTTTATATATTATTTAACTAAAAATGTTTTTCATAATATGTTGGTGCAGACAAGCCTTGTATGGTTTTTGCACCTATTGTATAATATGCATGTATTCATTATAGTTCAATAAATAAATTGATTGATTGATTGATTGATTGATTGAAACACTGTACTGTAAAGTATTGTAGAATATGCTACTAAATGAGGTCAAATACCGACATATAATTGACAGATGCTGGTTCTGATCCTTGACTTAGCGAAATTCCTGCAAACCTAACTTCAATATAACAAGCCTCATTTCACCGAAATCCTTGATATAACGAATATTCAGTTCTCCAATCTGAAGGGACCCTTCAGATTCGTTATATTGAGGTTGGACTGTACTTAACTAAATTCAAACTTGTTACTGGTTCTTAGGTGTTTGAACTATTAAAGTGTTACTGTATAACAGTATACACACACAAGGCTTACCAATAGAGATTCAAATGCTAAATAAGTAACTATATTACTCTCTCTTATCGAAGTAATGTTTCATGAACTACAATATGTCAGTTGGTGATATAACTTACGAGAAGGGCCTTCTCCTGTAGAGCCCAGAATGCCGTTATAACAGTAAGCTTGGTGAGCACAGAAAGGGGCTGACAACCTGGTCACTGCGTCTGACTGTAGTTGGCACCATTCACATCCTATCACTCCCAGGCAATCTCTGCAAAACCATTGTATCATCAATTACAGAGATAAAACATGTTAAAACAGACAGAATAGTGATGGCCAAAACCAGAAATTTTGAATTTGAAAACAAAAACAAAAACCAACACTTAAGAAATCAAATCCCAAATCTTGAATCTTAAAGCCTAAACACAAAACTTGTTTACTTGTCTGGATAAGGTAAGAAAAAAATACAGGTAGTAATCAAATGTTAATTATGCAAAGCTGAAAGTAAGAACTACTGACTCTGAGATAATAACATGAATATGTGATTAATACACTTTAAACTAGTGATGGGCCGATTCCAGAATTGGTCGATTCCGATACCGATTCCGATTCTACAACTTTGGTTTCGATTCTCGATTCCGTACTCGATACCGATACCTGTTAAAAATTCATTTAATAACACACATAACTTACTGTGCTCTCGCTATCCCTATAAATAAAGGAGCATGTTAACTTATTTTTATTTAATCTTTATACATTAAGATAACTGCATTGCTATTGATTAAGGTTACATAGATTAGGTTAGCCTATAAGGAAAATAAGATAGGCTACTTCAAGAAGACATGATTTTTAAAACATTTTATTAGGTAAATTAAATTGAGACAACAATCACCGGTTTAGGTAGGGCTAGGCCTAAAATGTTCACAGAGTTTTTTGTTTAAGTATCCATAATCCAATATCTAGGCCGACAATGAATGTCCCATATTGCTTGAGCTATAAACTGAAAGTCAATATCAAAGTCATCTTCAATATCACTTGAATTACTTAAAGAATTACATAAAATTCATGGAGTTCAATCCATTTTGAACAGCTCACTAGTCACTACGCACTAGCAGACGCACAGACAGCAAACAAACAAACAAAACTAAAACATATGGTAAACCATTAATTTGCCATTTACAAACTCACGACAGCTGTTTCTGTTCAGTCAGAGAGAAACAACATATAACGATCCGCTAAATGGCTTTCTCCTATAGTCACCATGAAGCCCTGAATTAGCTGAACAGTTCGTGGGGTCTCATATCTTATAATGTCATAGCTTATAATTGTGAATTTGTCCCATAGCTTATAATCTTGAAAATATGGCATAGGTTATAATCAGTTATAAGCTATATCACACTTTTAAGATTGTAAGCTATGCCACAATTTCGAGTTAGAAAACGCGAGTTATATTAGTACCATTGACTTATTATATGTATATATTGAATGCTTGTACCATCTGGCAACGTTGCCTTTGATCTGACAACATGGCGGCAACTAGAGTTCTGTTGTCAACTGAACACACATGACACAACTTGTCTTTTGTCATTCTGTCACTGCTACTGTTGTGAAATGCAAAGACAAGCTAGCCTATATTTTGGATTATAAAACTATTACAATGTTAGTTTTTGAACTTGGAATTATTTATATCAGCTGATTTCAGAGTATTTCAAATAAACTATGATGTGCCACTCTTTAAAACCTTCAATGTCAGTTGAGTTTAGCAACATAATTAACCTCACTTTTCAGAATCGGTATCGAGTACAATGAAGCGAAGTATCGAGTATCGGCGATTCTTCGATACCACTGGTATCGAAGGTATCGAGGTATCGAGAATCGGAATCGGCCCATCCCTACTTTAAACTTAACTGACACATACTTTCTCCCATTAGCTTATGAACATCCTTTTATCAAGCAAGCGGTGGATGAAGGGTAACAATGATATTTTATGGTACAAATTGCAAAAGTTGAAATAATTATTGAACTGTAATTTTTACAACATTGGGGGTTGTACCATTTTGTTTTTGCGCTGTGACCACAAGACGTAATCACGATGGTGCCACAAACGCATGATATGTTGACAATCGTGCCCTATTCACAGGAGATATTCTTGATGGCAACAAGTTTGCAGAATAATAGTCATTGTGACATTTTGACAGGTATAATTTCAAAATGTAGTAAAAGCTAATATTACTTTACTACTGGTAACCATACCAGGGACCAGTTTCATATAAGCTACAGGCCCTGTAATACGGGTAAAATCCCTGTATTACAAGTTTAAAAACCAGTATATTGAAAATTCCAGTGTTTTTCTTCTATGGAGAAAATACTGGTGTAGTTTAGTTTGCTTGTTTATGATATATTTTGATCAAATTTGGCAAATTTATTTAAAATAATGTTTAAGGAGATATTTAACTTATTTAGGTAAAAATTCAATCACACCAATTGAAATTCATGTAATCTACTGGTTTGCTGCGCCGTGGTATTTTTCTTTGCATTTAGCCCTAACTGAATTTTATAAAAAAATTCACACACAATCAATAGCAGTAAACATTCCTATTGACTACCATACATAATTTAAAAACTATATTAAACTAATAACCGCTGTGAGTTCAAATACAGGAACTTATAATGCAGGTAAAAATTACAGGTCATTTTACAAGAGTAAAATTAATTTTATGTAACTTAATTTTACAGAATTGTAAATTTAAATTTAAAAGTCCTGTAATACAGGCAGGGTTTCATGACATACAACCCAGGCCTTAGAACCCTACTTTTTTTAATGCAGTGATGGTCGGTTTAAATATATGGTTAAGTTAGCTAGCAGCGTTTTATAATTTGACTGATGTTCAAAGTTAAATTGGACCAAAAATGAAATCTTTTTTAACAGATTCTTAACAGTTTTGGTTACCTATGTATTTTATTTTGACCCATTATAGGTTTTTATTAGTGATGGGTGGATCCAAGAAAATGTCGGTACCGGATTCCGATCCGGATCTTAAAAAATTCGGATCCGGATCTTCGGATTTTCGGATCCGGATCCAGATACACACTGACATAAGGGCGGGTAAAAAAAAACGTTATCAACAGAATGCCAATTTAAATCATACTGTTTAAAATTAAATTGGTAATGTTTAAAGGTTAATATATTTTTTATATATATAGAGTAATCTCCAGTTGAGCCAATAATCCCTCATTTTTTGGGGACACTAACAATTTTCAAAATCATAAAATGCACTAAGTTGCACGACCACCAAAAGGGTATCTGTGTTGTTTTACTATAGTTCGATCTTGAGTATGCTATATCGTGGTTTTTGCATGCAGCATCCAATTTATTTATGACTGGATAACCTCTTGTTCGTTTCTTCAAACACTGAGTCATTGCCTTGCCATATAAGTTATTTGCAACAAGAGACAAAAAAATCGGTCTCTTACATGGATACAGACTCCTTTGTGTTAGTAAATAATCGGGGTTGTACAGTGATACAGACTCCTTTGTGTTAGTAAAAAAATCGGTCTCTTACATGGATACAGACTCCTTTGTGTTAGTAAATAATCGGGGTTGTACAGTGATACAGACTCCTTCGTGTTAGTAAACGAATGGGGGTTGTACAGTGACACAGACTCCTTTGTGTTAGTAAAAAAATCGGTTTTACATGGACAAAGGCAGCTTTGTGTTAGGAAAAAAAAAATCGGGAAAAATTTGAAAAAATCGGATCCATTAAAACCGGATCCAGCCCAAGATCCGGAATTTTTTGGATCCGATCCGGTGCCGGTTCTAGCTCGGATCCGGTAGTCCGATATCCGGATCCGACCATCACTAGTTTTTATAAAACAGTGCCACAAAGACGGACCACAGAGGCATTAGAATAACATAAGTTAATTTATTGTATACTAGGTATAGGTACAAGTAGGAACAAACCTGAAACCAAGTTAATAAAATATAGAGATTATAGACACTTCGACATTAATCGAGTAGTAACTGAACGGGTTGGCGATCGGAACAAACCACGTCCCAAGAAAATTAAGTATAAAATGTAATCTGGTCCCGATGATTGGGAATACATTTATTCCAAAAATTTTTAAGTTTTGGGCTCCCTAAATTTGCAAAAACATTGCATTAGGCATTGAAATATGAAACTAAGTTTTCCATTCATATAATACTAATACCACATTTATTATACATGTTAGTTGTCCACATTATCCAATCTTTTAGGTTATCTGACCTAGGCCTGGTCGCGTAAGAGTCAGTTTAGAGAGGTTAACTGTATCTTATTTCAAACTATATAAAATAGGCTACCAATATGAAATAAAATGAAATATAAATTATTTTTGAATATTGAGTAAGTTATTGCTTTTAACTGTTCACATCACCCATGACACATGATTTTGGTTTTGTATTCTTGTCCGATTAATCAACAGGATTGCATTCAATACAAGGAAACTACTGTATTTCCATTGAAAGAGAGAGATACTTTCCAAGTTTCTTTTTTCAAAGATACTTTCGGTACAGGAAATATCTGATGTATTACAATTATTTTTTATGTTATTCTGCAACACTGTTAAGGTTAAGGAATTTCATTTTTTTTATAGACACTTTTCCGCTAATAAAATGGACAGTATGACAATATGTAGGCCTATGCACAACAGCATTACGTCTACACAAACTAGACAATCAATTAAATCTTACTTGTAAGACGTGAACTGATCACAGGCTATGGGGAAGCACGGCTTGACAGTTGGTAACAATGACAGCACAGCTGTGGGGATGTGGAGGGAAGGTTCTGATATGTGAGGGCATGGTGGGGGTAGTTGTTGTGTTGCGGGGGTATCACAGGTGCCCGTCTCCAAGGGGCATTCACATGGGCATTCACACTCACTTTGCTCCAAGCGGTTACAGTTGAGGCAATGTCTGTCAATCTGTAACAACAACCACGTGAATTAGGCATAACCTAATGGGCACTTCCCACTTGGTGCCTCAGAGCCTGTCAAACCTGAGTCCTGTCTATGAGCTCCTCCTTAGGAAGGTGTTTGTACTTTATTAAAGTTCACAATAAACATAGGCTACTCAAATCCATAACCATAACCAAAACTTAAAAAATACAGTGTAAAAAGATACGGCCTTGACTGCTGCACAACGAACAAATTACTAAAATTGAACTTAGCAAAAATGTAAATAAGGAATTAACAGTTTGGCTAAAGGACCAAAACAATATGAAGTGAGTTGAAATGTCCACTATATGTCAGGCTCATGTCTCGGTAAACATTAGAAGCATGTGAAAACCAGCTACTTACTGTATTACAGGGGCAGAAGGCAGTGACTAAATCACACGTGGTGTTCACTACGGCCAGGAATGTGTTGGTTCCAGGTAGTCGAGTCAGCTGATAGCGGACACACTGCTCACCAGATATCACGTTGGTTACTACTCCTTCCAGACTCAGGTTAAACTGGTAAAACCTCTGGACAGTGTTGCTGGATAAGTCACTACACACCAGCTTCTCTACCAACCCCTGCAGGGAGATTTACATCAATATATTATCTGATTCAAAGAGAGGAAACATACTTTAAAACCATTTAAGCTACTTGTGGGTACAGTGTGACCTACATTGGAAGCAGATTTTTCTTACCAGCCGACCAGACCAGACCCGACTCTTAAAAACCGGAAGCCAGGTGGACGCTCAGCCAGTCTCACACACACTCCACAATCACAGTCACAGTGCACACAGCGAGCAGAGTTGATAGCCAAGCATTTTTGTTGATAATACAGTTATTACACTTATTGTTATTGAACTTTGAAGTTAATTAAGTTTGTTTTTAATATTGTGTTTTTAAGTTAAGCAATTTTACCCTAGTTTTTGTTGATTAGATTTTTTGTTATTGTTTACTGTTTGAAAAATGGATGAGGAACTTTTTGATTTAATGTTATTAGACCGCCTCTCGACCAATGAGAACTCTTGTTACATACTTTGATTTATCTTAGATTGTCAACATTCGCCATTCATTATAAAATTACAAAATCAACATGGACTATGCGTATGATATTTTTATGTTACAGTAGCATTTAAAACTTCACTAAACTCTTTAACTAGGTAGATAGTACAGATAAAATATGGATCTACTTTTTGGCCCAATATAAGACAGGCCTAACCCTACGCCGATGTTGAAGTTGAATCTAATTTTTCTAATGATGCGTAATGCAGGGATGAAACTGAACATTTCGACGTGTTTAGGTTATTTATTTTGTACTAAAAATAAAAATAATACATCTAAAGGTGACTTATTCATACAGACATTTTTTACTAGTGTTGGAGGGGAGACAGTACTACATGTGTTGTTTACGGCAGACTCGGTCAGGCCCGTCCAGACCTGCTCAGACTGTCAAATTCCCCTTCCAATATAAGTCAAGCCTTTAGTGTTTAAGATACTAGAAATCAGAACAATATTGCAATACCTGCTCATAATTTAAAACTGTTTAAAAAGAGACTTGTACATAAGCTGGGGGAAATTATTTTCATTATTAATTACTATTGTCTTTGAGGCACGAGCAAAATCTGACAATATTACAAAAAATGTGGTGCGGCAGTAGTAGTGACAAACCTTGTGATTGAGCAGATCGTTGGCAAGTAGAGACTCGCGATGCGTCACATGGTGTTGTTCATCTGCCGCTCCCTTAGTCTGGGGGTCAATGAGACTAGGGTGGGTGATGAGGTAGCCTCTATCATCCATCAGAAAACACTTGACATTGCCTGGGACTGTGTCCAAAGGTGCAGAGCACGACGGTATTGATTCTACCATCAGGTGGTATAATGCTCCTGTGCAACAAAACACAAAACTGTAAACTAAGAAGCAAGGGTCTGTGGGTCAGATTTATTTGACTTCAGATTGGATTTATCTGAATCGGGCTGACAACATGGCATACTCGCTATGTGGGCAAAAAAAACCTGACAGGAATCAAAACTAATTTGGTATCCATAGATATAAAACATATTTTACCGTCTAGGTCTATGGTTTTAACATTTTGATTACACAAGTCATCTGAAAGGTGTCACAGTAATTTAATTTTAAAGATCTATCTATAAGAAGGAATTTTTATAAAATATAACTTTCTTTTTTAAACCCGTAAAAATGACAGCTACTATATTAGTTACAGCTATGACCAATTTTAAATATGATAAAATAACTAAGTTAACTCTTAACTCTCCTAATAGTTTATCTTTTTTAATCTGTATTTTTATTTTAATAATTGTTATCTTTGACACTATTCAAATGCTGTATTGTGTATACTTCTCAATGAATAAAGAAATTGAAAATTGAAATTGAAAATATGTTAAGCTAACATTACAGCTTTGCCAATTGTTCAGACTTGGGGTATGTTTTGTCTTAATAAATAACAAATCATACCTCGTCAGACAATCCTTAACATGTGGGTATTGTGTAAAAAAACTTGCTATATATGTTTTGTTGGTTATTTAAAGCTCTGCCATCGTCAGGCTCACAAAAGAATCCATTTTGATGGTGTTGTCAGAATAATTTAACTACTACGCAAAAACCATTTAATAATTTGTCATTTTACACAGTCTTGAGACACAAAATTAATATCATTAATATATAATTTGGTAAATACTGCAAAAACTACAACTATACTTGGATTACATTATTCCATCCAGATTTTACAATAGAGTGCTCGTGTAATTTGGTTTGCTATGTATATTTCTTATATACATTCTGATTCTATATTCTTATATATTCCTATATTCTTTTTCAAAAATATAATGGTTCTAAGTGAAATAAATTTAGATTGAGAAAGAGATAAAAAAAGGTTAGCCAAATATAACGCCTAAGGATAAGGACTAAAGTAGGACAGTACTGGTAAGGACTTTAATAAAACCAAATAGTAGAGTTTATCTGTGGATAAAATGGCACAATATTTTATAGGTTTATAATATTACTGAAGAATTTTACTAACTTACCGAGAGTAAAGTCAATAGCCAAAACAAACTTGAGTGGGTCTTTTCCAATAGCAATGCTGAGAGTGATGACGTAGCCAGCTCCAGCAGAGTCCAAGTATGGAGGAGTAACAGTTACAAGGCCTGGGGTCTGAGTGGCTCTGTGGTACCACGAGTGGCGAAGTACATCTACTCTGTGATCTACTACTCCACCAGGATACATCATCACAGCACCACTACCAGTCACAATGTACCTGTAACAATCAACAAACATACCATTAACCAGCCAGTATTCAATGGTTTAACACTTTCAATAATACGGCATCAGTCCACAGAAACTACAAGAAATATAAGTGTATTCGGGAGCGATCGATATGTTCGTGAGTGACCGGCTGAGGTGATGCCGACCTGTCGAGTTGAGAGCTTATCAGCAGAGAAGGTTTGCACTCAATGAAATTCAATTAACATTTTTATAGTAGCCTATATTTTTGTCTCCCATGGTCACAGAAACGTCGCTGTGTACAATGGCAAATTAAAAATTCTAGGGATGGACGGGATTGAATTGTTAGTTCGGGACGGGACAAGACGGGATTTTTAATTCCTTCCCAATTTTCGGACGGGACGGGACGGAATTTTTTCCTGTGAGTAAAAAGAAAGTCTTGAGTATTTCAGTTACCAAAAAAGAAAATTAATTTTTACCGTTTGTGGCACTATCTATAAAAACAAAAAAATGGGTAACAATTTACAGGTACCTATAGAAACTTGTGACTTGCGGTCACATTGCTATCGTCAAAATGACTCGCGGTCACGGGGTGATCGTCGGTATGACTCGCGGTCACCATCGTCGGTATGACTCACGGTCACGGCACGAACGTCGGTATGACTCCGCGGTCACAGCGCGATCGTTGGTATGACTCCGCGATCGTTGGTATGACTCACGGTAACGGCGTGATCGTCGATATGACTCCGCTGTCACGGTGCGATCGTCGGTATGATTCCGCGGTCACGGCGCGATCGTCGAAATGACTTTGCTTTCTACGTTTGCGGAACTATCGTGAACATCTCTCGCGGTAGCGGCGTCATCGTCGCTCGCGAAGCGGCAAAATCGCCAACGATCGGACCAAATCCCGTCCCGAAAATTTCCCGAATAAAATGTAATCCCGTCCCGAAAATCGGGAATATTTTTTTCCCGAAAATTTTGGGACCCATCCATCCCTAAAAAATTCCCAGTAGAAAAAAAAATTTATGCATAGTTCCAGGTTTCGAAAAATCACGCATAATTCCCGGATTTTCCTGTTTTCCCATTGGTGGACAGCCTGTATTACCACACTTGATTATCAGTATAAAACAATCTTACTTGCGAATGATGTATTTGGTGAGACTGCTGCTGATGTAGAATTTTTTCCAGTAAGCGATGATGGGAACAGCAGAGATGAGTTCAGGCCGCACCTCAGGTCGAAGGCCGGGGTTGGCCAGGAGGGAGGTTGTATCCTTAAGGTATGCCATGTAGCTCTGTACACTCAGCTGAGATACATTCTGTTCAGACATCAGGTACTTGTAAGGTGACTGGAAACACCACGAGCTCAGAAACAGGCTCGCAGTATCTGTAAAACACAACACAATTCAAAAACATTATTAAAACATATTTTTAGTTTTACTGATACATAAAACCTAGACAATATAATCTTTATAGAACTTTAGAGTTTCAATTACCCTACCATTGCAGAAATCTCTTGGTGCAGTTGCATTATAACTTCATAAGGCCTACTGTACTACTTATTTGTATCCAATGGTAATAAATAGAACTTGATCTTTACTGTTTGAATATTCCTACTGGAAGGTGCAATTGCATTATAACTTGACAAGGACTACTGTACTACTTTTTTGTACTTAATGGCAATAGATATAACTAGGTATTGATTAGTTTGCCTTGTTCGCAATAGCGTAAAAAAGTTAAACTATGAAAAATTTATAGTTTTAGGTATTTTTATGCAAGGACCATTATTTTTTTTACAAATGATCATTAAGTATAGACATTGCGGATAGCAAGAAGCATGAATAGAAGAGACAGGCCAACTTTTACACTTAAAACAACCTCCGTCCAAGTAGAAAACATGACAATGAAGTGACTACAAGAGACTTGTAAAGCAGAAAGGATGGAATCCACGTAGTTCATGCAAAAAACTTTTTCAAAATTTAAAAATCCACACCCTAACAGGACTGTACATTTTGGAATCATTAAACTACATTCATTCAGCTAAATACGACCTCCTAGAATCAATTAAAATCAGCCATAGATATAATAATCAAAATGAAAACATTTTTAGATTTCCAAGGCACCGTTTAAAACTTTATGAAAAAAGTCCGCTATATGCTGGGCTGAGACTGTACATGTGCTCCCTGCAAACTATAAATTGTTAAGTGAAAATAATTTTAAAGATAAAATAGGTGAACTTTTAATTGACAGAGCCTTTTATTTAATTACAGATTTTCATAATACCCCTTTAGTTTAGAATAGTTTTATCATTCAATTTTGTTAATTTACATTATCTTATTCATTACTATTTTATTTTTTATATTCTGATAATAATAATAATAATAATAATAATAATAATAATAATAATAAATCTTTATTGTCGTTTGGTAATATAAACATTACAATAAACAAGGTCAACATGTTTTGTTACATATGTTATAGAAAATATTAAATATTCTACAGAAAATGTTAAAATAAAGTTAAAAGAATCTTAAAAGGAAAAAGCATCAGTAATAATAAAAACTTTTAAATTAACAGGGAAAAGACCATAACAAGAACAAAGAATCATCAAGACTGCTTGGCCTCACATTTAAGCGTTGAAAAATCTACATTCTGCAAAAACTCCTCAACTGAATAAAAAGCACGACTTGTAAGCCAATCTGATAATTTTGACCTATACAAATGAATACTTTCCTGATTTCTAAAATATATTGGAAGTTTATTAAATAGTTTTATTTGCAAATATTTATAACTTTTGATAAATTTTGATAGCCTGGCTTGAGGAATATATAAATCTTTTGATTGTCTGGTGATATACCCATGGATTGAGTTGCAAGGAACAAATTTATTCAGATTCTCTTTCACGGAAACTAAATTGTAAAAAATGAAAATATTAGAGAGTGTCATGATTTTATTTTCAGCAAAAAATGCTTTGCAACTAACCCTATCCGGAATTTCAAACATAATTCTGAGAGCCTTCTTTTGCCATGTAAAGACCCGGTGAGCTCCTGAGCTATTACCCCACAGTATATTGCCATACAGCAAGTGTGAGTGAAATAAACTGTGGTAAACAATTAGAAGTGTTGGTTTAGAAACACAATTTTTAAGTTTTCTTATCAAACAACATACTCTTGACAATTTTGAAATGATATTATTGGTATGTATTTCCCAAGTGAGTTTAGAGTCTATGGATATTCCGAGTAGTTTGACAGAAACTGCATTGTCTGCTTCAAGATTACGCAAAGTAAAACAAATTTTTTCTGTTTTATCATGATTTATTTCCAGAAAATTACTTTCAAACCATAGCTTACCCAATTCAATGGCGTTTTCTATACTTTGGTTAGCAGAGTAAAAGTTGTCAGCTGATGAGATGAAGGTTGTGTCGTCAGCATATAAAATTGTTTTGTAAGGTATGGAGTTTGGCAAATCATTAATATAGAGAATAAACAAAACCGGACCCAGTACCGACCCTTGAGGAACCCCAGCAAGGACCTCCTTAAAATTTGACCTATGTTTTCCTAAATTAACAAATTGTAGTCTTCCACAGAGGTATGATTTTAAAAAAATTAGTTCGTGCTCCATTATTCCATAAAATTCTAATTTCTGCAAAAGAATTGTATGTAAGACCGAATCGAAGGCCTTACTGAGGTCTAAAAGTGCCACACTAAGATAACCACCAGATTCAAAACCATCCAAAATATCAGACACCACCGATTCTATAGCCAAAGTAGTTGAACGGCCCGGTCTGAAACCAAATTGGTTATTGTTTAAAATATTATTTAAGTTAAGAAAATCAAAGATCTGGGCTTTAGCACAGGATTCAACTATTTTTGATAACACCGGAACCATTGAAATTGGTCTATAATTTGAAATAAGAAATTTATCTCCCTTCTTATAAAGAGGGATTGTTTTACTGATTTTTAAGCAATTTGGAAAGGTTGAAGTAGAAAACACCATATTAATAAGATGAATCAGTGGTTCCATAACGTAAGAAGCTATGAATTTTACAATTTTGTTTGAAAAACCGTAAGCATCTTCACTGTTTAATGGATTAAGAGATCTTATTATTTTTTTCATATCATTCTCTGTTACCAATTTCCACGAAAATTTATTTCTAGAACGATTAGCATTATTTAGAAAATTAGAGAAATCCAAACTCCTACCTTGCTCAACATGAGCCATAGATGATGATAATTTAACTCTGACAATGCACCTATTCTGTATGTACCAACACATGTAAAGAATGTTATGTGCAAATAAAATATGTCTATGTCTATGTCTAATAGTGCGGCAGAAATTATGTTCATTCAGGGTTGTCAGCAGGATCTATAAACAAAATTCACGCATTTTTCCCGGTTTTCCCGGCTACAAAGTACGGAATTCCCGGCGTCTATTATACTTATAAGAACGGCACAACACAAGTTACACTACAGCGCGGTGGGTCATTATGGGTGCCATCTTGATAACATCCACTCATAATACTATATTTTAGGGATGGTCAAGTCTCGAAATTTCGGGAAATTTTCGGGAAATTTTCAATCTCGTTACACGAGACGAGATTACTTTTTGGCCGAGATTGTTATCGAGACGAGAAATAAAAATAAAAAAATTAAAAACGCCTGCAGAAAGTCAATGCAATACCCGCAATACAGGAGCGTGTTGTAGTTGCGTTTCCTTTTCGAAGGCGTTCTTATTTAATTAATTCTTTTAATGTAAATATTACTTTAATTCTTTTAATGTAAATATTACTTTCATTATTTTAATAATATTACTTTAATAACATTTGAGAAGTTTTGTTAAGTGTAAGCAGTGTGAGGAATGTTTTATTACGATAAAAAAAGTCAAAACAAGTAACTATTTTATAAAAATTAATATTGCTCTTATTTTATGATTTATTTTATTTTAGGATAAGTTGAACTCTATCCTAACTGATATCACCATGTTTCCTAATCGTAGGCATTTTTAATAAGTTAGGCGTGATTAATAAAAAAATGTTATGCTGATGTTATTTAATGAAAGATTGTAAATATTCTTGCCTATTATCATTATTTTAGTATTTAAACAGTCATCTAACAATGTTACAAAATCAGGTAAAAATTTCGAACGTGCATTTCCCGTTGTGTATGAGAAGAGAAATCTCGTCTCGATCTCGTCTCGAAATTTAATGAGAAATAAAAAATCTCCTCTCGTCTCGTCTCGAACTAAAAATCCAATCTCGTCCATCCCTACTATATTTGGCTAATAATTTGTTCAGAATTATCAGAGGTTATAAACTCTATAACCTTAAACATTAATTGATCAAGCTAGTACAGTTGACTACTGTCGGGTAAATAAATATGTGCACTCGAGATTGAGCCTAAATATCTCTGAGATGAATTATCCGATTTTGTTGAAACAAAAATTAAATATAAGCTGGTTTAAATACATTTTACGTGGTAACAATTAAAAAAATTTCCGTTTGCCAGAAGAATTTATATAGTTGAAAGATCCTAAAAAGTAGGTACCGGTTTTTAAGAATCTCTGCACTAACACTGAAGTTTAAAATTTAATTGTAAACAAACCACTGAGCCAATCTTTCTGAAATTTTTATGGCTTATTGGTAGGTTTATTGTTAACATTTCCATGCATTTTAAAATTTTTACTCACAATAGTGTTTATGCTGCTGTTAATTTTTTAAACGTATGCTAACATCGTTAATAAGACGCTAATAATTTCGTTCAAAATACCATCGTGTTTGTCGTGACACAAGAAATAACACCAATATGACAGATTTATAATGCAAATAAAGGTGTTTTTATGCGAACAGGTTCACATCGGCAACGTCGCAGATTCGCATGCGCTCCCGCCCGGCTGGGAAATATCGTAGGCCTACAACACCAGGCTGTTATTATAATAGCTGCCAGTCGCGCGAGAAATTTTTGTTTACAAATATAAATCTGTTTAAAAAACACCTTTGTTCGCATTATAAATCTGTCATATTGGTGTTATTTCTTGTGTCACGACAAACACGATGGTATTTTGAACGAAATTTTTAGCGTCTTATTAACGATGTTAGCATACGTTTTAAAAATTAACAGCAGCATAAAAACTATTGTGAGTAAAAATTTTAAAATGCATGGAAATGTTAACAATAAACCTACCAATAAGCCTTAGAAATTTCAGAAAGATTGGCTCAGTGGTTTGTTTACAATTAAATTTTAAACTTCAGTGTTAGTGCAGAGATTCTTAAAAACCGGTACTTTTTACGATCTTTCAACTATATAAATTTTTCTGGTAAACGGAATTTTTTTTAATTGTTACCACGCAAAGTGTAACCAGCGTAAGTGTATAAACCAGCTTATATTTAATTTTTGATTCAACAAAATCGGATAATTAATCTCAGAGATATTTAGGCTCAAACTCGAGTGCACATATTTATTTCCCCGACAGTAGTCATTTGATCAGTTTCAAACTCAAATAAAGGCCACTATTCTTACTTGTGTATAATAATTGTTTAATAATGCTTATAAAAGGTTACTATTAAGTTGTATTACAGAGCATTCAATTCGAAACAAGCTGCACATCGATCGAAACGCGTGCCAATCAATGATGGATTATGAAAAGAAGTTGCTGAGGTTTGTGCCGATGTCAAGGTCAATTGACAAGAAGTAAACAAATGCCGAACATTTTGCGAACGGCTAGTAGACAGTAGTACACAAGAGCTGCGCGGTTAAGCCGAAACACGGTAGAGTTAATTTAATAAAAGAGTTTGTGCACAAATACGTTAAAATGTTACAAACTATTTTCAAATTATTATTATAACATAAAAAAAACAATAAGATAAGATAAAAGTATAAACTTGATGCTATTCGAAGTCAATGGTAGAGGTAGGTCCTAACCTCACATTGTGCACAGCTATCTCAAAAGGCAGAGTTTAACGAGACAAATAATAACTTGTGTTGATTGTCTTAAATTTACCCAGGTCCGAATGATGTATGTAAAAACAAATTCAGTTATAATTACGGATTTTGGTAAATAATAAAGACAACACAGACGTTAAACATATACGTTTATTAGGTAGTTCTTAAAATCCATTAACTCTTAAAATTCACTCGGCACACATTAAAAATTGAGGTTGAAAATTAACATAGTTAAACATTTTGCAGAATAAACTTATACATGTAAGTTTGCAAAACAAAATAAATTTATGTCGGTTTAGTTATAACAAAAATAAAACTTAGATATGAACAAACAACAACAACAATATTTTGATAAACAACATTTGTTACATTAGGCCTACTAGAGACAGTATTTACATACGATACAGACTTTGTTTTCTAGTTTGGTATGCGTCATTACAAAGAAATGTAATATGTTAATCAGTTTTCTTGCAAATTATTTGCAATGCCATGCCAATACCAGCTGTCCTGACCTCTCGACATTCCTACAGTAGGCCTACATAGCTATGATGATAAAATTTTGCCCTTGTTTATATTGATATGCAAAAACACATACCAGAAGTTACAGTGTCATAGTTATGACATCATTCTGCCCTTGTTTATTGATATGCAAAAACACATACCAGAAGTTACAGTACAGCTATGACATCACTCTGCCCTTGTTTATATTGATATGCATTAAACATGCCAGAAGTTACAGTACAGCTATGACATCACTCTGCCCTTGTTTATATTGATATGCATTAAACATGCCAGAAGTTACAGTGTCATAGTTATGACATCATTCTGCCCTTGTTTATATTGATATGCAAAAACACATACCAGAAGTTACAGTACAGCTATGACATCACTCTGCCCTTGTTTATATTGATATGCAAAAACACATACCAGAAGTTACAGTACAGCTATGACATCACTCTGCCCTTGTTTATATTGATATGCATTAAACATGCCAGAAGTTACAGTACAGCTATGACATCACTCTGCCCTTGTTTATATTGATATGCAAAAACACATACCAGAAGTTACAGTACAGCTATGACATCACTCTGCCCTTGTTTATATTGATATGCATTAAACATGCCAGAAGTTAAGACAGTCCATCTCCGCTTACACGACTTACATTCCAGGGAATGCCTAATCCATACCAACATGCCTAGCCTCTCCACATTTCTACAGTATATAACTATGACTCAACTCCTGACCTTGTTTTTTTAATTTGTTAGTCTTGTGTGAGATATAATTATAATAATTGAATAAGAATAAAAAAGACTTTAAGACGTTTTCAGGCTTCCTGAGCACCGGCTGGATTGCCGTTTAATTTTAGGAATATTTGTAGTTTTTGGAATGGGTTGGAAAATAACTTGTAGGCCTACTACTACACATTTATTTTAAAGGCTTTTTGGCTATAATCGCTGAAAATAGGTACTGTATCACCAGATAATATCAGAATCAAATAAATCTTAACACTAAGTTGGATGGAAGTCAGTTGCAGTTCAGCACAATGTAGTCTGCTTCCGGCGACCGGCGGCGTCGGCTTCCCGCGTAGGCCTATTCATGGTGGTAGGTAGTGTACATCCAACTTACCCTCTGCTTCTTCCGAACCATCGCCACTCGCCAGTAAACCGTAAATTTTGGTTCACTATAAAATCAATCAAGAAAGTATTGCAAAACGGTTTATAACTATTAAAATTACTTGAAAAAACTGTATCAATTAACTTCACTGAATAATACGATTTTCACGCATATTTCCCGGTTTTTTCACGGCTGTTAAAATTCACGCATAATTCCCGATTTTCCCGGAATTCCCGGCCGCTGACAACCCTGTTCATTGTAGAAATCATGTTACCCGAGCATACCTGCCTGAATATTATGAAAACAAATTATAATATTTCAATGAGGATCTTATGCAGGGTTATATATATGTCTACTCAAACTAATTTGATTCCTTAAGTTTACCAACTGACCTGTTTAAGAACCTTACGAATCTTCCTTGGAAATTAGAAAAATAATTTTAACCGCATTTCAAATATGCCCAAGTATGCTGTTGAATATATTACCTTGGGAAGCCAGTTGTCTGAAGCTTCGACAGAGTCTGGGAGGTACAGGTGCCAGATCTAGCCTATGGTAGGCCAGTGACACTTGGACTGGGGGTGGTGCAGCTGAGGACCAGCGGATAGTGTGACGAGGACTGCTGCTTCTTAGTATCACAATGTACGGAGCTGCAGATAGATGTTGCCAACTATACGCCACCTGCACATCAGACTAATGATATAAACCACAGACTTGTTACATACATCGGAGTTTTGGATCAGTTTTGAAAAAGCTGAATAAATATCAAACAAAAATAATTCTCCTTTTTAATTTGTGTAGACGGCAGACAGTAATCTTTATTCATATATTCTTGGATTATAGTATAGTATAAGAACAAGAAATATTTATTTCCATTGATCTTTATAAAAGAAATAGGACACGTCATTTGTTATATATAGTTACAAGGCGATTCAGTGTTTACAGTACAATATATCTAAATTTAAATAGCCACTTTCATGAAAATAAAAGCTTTATTTCAACTTATTTTAAGAGATGCATTTGAGAAAACATTTGCATTTTTTTTTTTTGTAATCTAATATATGTACTGCCAGGTTGTATTTTACTTCTCACAGAGTTGGTGGCAGAATACATTATATTAAATAAAAGTGGTAAATGATCAGAAAAACAGTGATCTCCCAATGTGATGTTGTCAAACAGATTCCTATTAACACGTTCATTACAGATGACGAGTAATCTCGTCACTGCTATCGCTTTCCAGTGGCGCACGACGAGTATACTAGTCAAAGCGCTGTTTACATCCACTGCCAGGTTAGCCACTGCTGTGAGACATTCTTTCGCTTGCCGCTTCTTGTGCCAGTGATATACTTCAATCTTGTATCGTTTTCTGATCAGACTATTTTATTGGTGGTAGAGACGGTTACAAATTTATTGTAGTCTGGGATTTAGGCTTGGATCTAATGACATGCAGTAGAATAATGTTAATAAATGTACTGTAGCATTGTGGAAGGATTCTAACCTCAAAGTTGTGCTTGGCCGCTTTATTGAAACATTTTTATGGTGTATCCGGGTAATTCACCCCTGCTAGCAGTATTGTTTAGTGCTGCTATCTGTTGGGTTCTTGTAAATCTACGTCCACAACGACTGGGACGTAGCATATGCCTCTCATATGGATGAAACTAAATTTAAACGTTTTCGCGCACTCGTCCAAGCAGCGCACTAGATGTTTGCGCCACCGGCAGCAGTCAGCCATCAAGCAGCCGCAGTGAACATGTTAAAATTGATAATTATTATTATCTATACAGAAGTTATTGCGAGTTGGTTGATTATCTGAAGGAAAGAGATTAAAATTTCGTAGAAGGTTTAACAATCTAAGGGAAACTGTATTATTTTCACATCCAATACCTATTTCAATGTTGAAATCACCAGCAATAATAGGGAGTTTTTGATCATCTTTTAGTTTTTTTTTTTTTTTTTTGCATATTCAAATTTAGTCAGGAAAATATCAACATCACCATTTGGAGATCTGTAAATACTTAAAATAGTAACATTGTTATCAAGTAATTTAACACAACAACATTCCAAATTCATCTTAGAGTAAAACTAACTGTGTAACATCAACATACATTAACTTGCATTAGCCTAATGCTCAGCTTTTTACCACTCTCACTTTGTTGACCACTTATCGCTGGTGATATGGGCGGGCAGTCATGAAAAGCAGCATAGCTCTCCAGGTGGTGACCCTTTGGTGTAGAGGAGTGACAAGTCTCTGTCTCGCTTGCCTGGTCAAGTGTAGTTGTAGAAGATGGAACCGGGGAATAATTGTCTGCTGGTAAAGTGTAGGTGTGTGTTTAAGTATTATTTTTTAGTGTATTTATGTTTTGTAACCAGGCTGTAATTTTTGTTCTTATTCTGTCAGTTAATTATTTTTTATGTGTTTGAGAAGATAATTGCATAAGTAGAAGAACAGATAGAGACCAAACACAATATTTGTATACTTCATCTAAGACATTACCTGTTCTTTGTTGAGTTTCCATGTTCCACTAATGTTATGGAAGATGACACTCCTGACCTTCCCAAACAATTTATTGATTTCAAAGTTACCAATGTCTTGGGCAATAGGTTGCTCAAAAAGATAGTTGGAAGGAGGCTTTAGCAGAGGGTGAGCAAGAGCATATCCTGTAAAAGAACATGTTTTATGATAATAACATTATTTACTTTTGTTACTAGATTAATTAATGCAACATACAAACAAACTGCAGCTATTGTACACAAATTTAAAATAAAAAATAAATAATATTGCTACCTTAAATTAATCGAAAATAAGATAAACATTTTCTCTCACAGAGGGTAGGCAACTACTTTAACTGTTCATGTATTAGTTAATATCTTTGACTATATATACCTACAGAAGACATCCCATCCTTATGGGATGGGAGCCAGGTCTCGGGAGCAAGTAGTTGATGTGAGCTGCCGGTAGGCGCGTGATAGTAGGATTTTTTTTCTATCTGCACTCTCTCTCGCAAATTCCCCCCTCGCCCCGCGGCCTACTCTGCATCGCTCTCACTGACACATTCCTTCTCTCTATGTCTCGCTTCCCCACCGACCACATGACCCACACTGCTACGCTACAACTGCTCGCTCAGGCACGGGCAATGAATACAAGCTGGCGCTCGTCAAACATTACGTTAGCCAAGCTGACGATGATAACTTATCACTGATAACATTAATGTGTGTGTGTTGCGCGATTACGTGGTATGGGAACATATTTTATAATGTGAACGAGTACTCAAATTAATACAGGCGCAAACATATTGAGTAGGGATGGTCAAGTCTCAAAATTTCGGGAAATTTTAAATCTCGTTACACGAGACGAGATTTCTTTTTGGCCGAGATTTTGATCAAGACGAGAATTTAAAAAAAAAAAAAATTTAAAAAAAATTAAAAACGCCTGCAGAAAGTCAATGCAATACCCGCAATACAGGAGCGTGTTGTAGTTGTGTTTCCTTTGCGAAGGCGTTCTTATTTAATTAATTCTATAAATGTAAATATTACTCTAATTATTTTAATAATATTACTTTAATAACATTTGAGAAGTTTTGTTAAGTGTAAGCAGTGTGAGGAATGTTTTACAGTAGAGTCCCGCAAACTCGCCACTCGATAACCCGGCAGTCTGGATAACTCGGCCATCATCTGGCTCAGAAAATTAGTGATTTTTTGAGTCCGAGTTAAACATGGACTCAAGCCAGCTAAAGTCAAATCATTCTCAGCTCGTACAAATGATTTTTTTACTATACCTGATGACTTAATACTGACTTGTAATATAAATATAAATAAAAGAGGTAGTTAATTAGCTTACCAATTGTATTGTTCTTATTTTTAACCCTAGTTCCCGATAACCCGGCATTTCACAAACTCGGCACCCTTCCAGTCCACATTACGCCGAGTTTGCGGGACGCTACTGTATTACTATAAAAAGTCAAAACAAGTAACTATTTTTTATAAAAATTAATATTGCTTTTATTTTATGATTTATTTTATTTTAGGATAAGTTGAACTCTATCCTAACTGATATCACTATGTTTCCTAATCGTAGGCATTTTTAATAAGTTAGGCGTGATTAATAAAAAAATGTTATGCTGATGTTTTTTAATAAAAGATTGTAAATATTCTTGCATATTATCATTATTTTTGTATTTAAACAGTCATCTAACAATGTTACAAAATCAGGTAAAAATTTTGAATGTGCATTTCCCGTTGTGTATGTGAAGGGAAATCCCGTCTCGATCTCGTCTCGAAATTTTATGAGAAATAAAAAATCTCGTCTCGTCTCGAACTAAAAATTCAATCTTGTCCATCCCTAATATTGAGTAATCGTGTACTTTAGTAGGTAATTGATTTGAGTTTGGTTAAGATATACAAACTTAAATATTTAAAATAACAACTTAAAAACTTTAAAAATTAGACAAACATTGTCATTAGATTGAAAATAGGCCTAAGTACTTATTCTGAGGTTACAGTTAAAGTGTAGGCTTGTTGGGAAAAAGATTTAACAAAGGCTTGATTTGGTGACTGTGATGTTTTTTTTTGTAGGCCTACCATTGTGGGTTTTGGTTAAAAGTGCTTTTAGACCCCCACCTCTAGAGATAAGCCTACAGTATTGAATGATATATTTTATTTCGCAAATCTGTTGTTTGCTTCACCTTAAACTGTAACCTCAAGTGAATATGTACTTAGGCCTATTTTCTAAAAAGTTTTGTGTAACGAGTCAAATGGGTAGGGGGGTAAAAATATAACGATTTAGACCACGAACATTAAACAGCTAAACATAAGCTGTTGAGTAAGCCTAGTCGCGACACTAAACTGACGTCGTACCTAACCTCCAATTCCAAGACCGCAGACGACGTTGGTGTCAGTTTGGTTGTTTGGCTGTTCGACTGCGTCTGAGGCCGGGCTACGGGAGAGAAGATGAGCAGCGAGGTCACCTTTGAGCGGTACGCGGCTGTAAGCCTGTTAAAGCTGCCATGCGCCTGCCTTCGCTGCCAGTTTTTTTGTTTCGGTAACTCGTTGACCAATCAGGAATCGTTTTAACTTTCGTCTCGATTCTGAGACGAAGGTGAAGTAAGAAGAAGTTTTGTGAAGTTTTGGTCATTCGTATTCCCGGCTTTTGTTGAGGCATTCGCTAATTATTCGTCCTTTCGTCTTCGATTTGAAGAGTTTTCGTGCTACTACTTCGTCGTAAAAGTCACAGTAAGTTCTGTGGTGCATCGAGTGCGCGAAAAATCGTTTTTTACAGTATTACTACTTCGTTTGGTAAGTTGTACAATAAAACTTAGACAACTTAGGTTTTTCTTTCGGCAGAACTTTGTCGAAGTTCATAGGCTAGGCCTGATTCGCAGACCTCGTCATACGCTTTAACCAACTCATTTAATTAAAGTATCGGAGTTGGTGACAGATCATTTCGATTAACGTTTCGTAATCCATATCTGGGACTTTCTTTTTAAATTCTTAAACCCCTTTGTAAAGTTCCCGAACGCCCCGAAGTTGGCCCCAGCAGACAGGTTTCTGCTTGATAATTATTGCAGAAGTTTGCTTAAGTTGAACACGTGGGGAAGTTGAAGTTTTAGTTTTTCTTTTTTCGTATCAGCTCCTGAAGCAGTTTTATTTTTAGTTTCAGTTTTTTTTTCTCTCGTTTCGTGTCTCACTTGGGCAACTTAAGCCAACTCGTTTTCTTGTTTAGTAAATTCAGACTCTGTGGGAGTTAGGCTAGGTTAGGCCTATCTTGTACTAACCTTGTTTGTTTCAGGTCGACGACGTAACTCCGTAGGTAAGCGGAGTGACTACTTAGCTTACTTGTTGATTTGTTAAGTTAGCTAGTAGTGTGTCATTTAGATATTTGCCCACGGAGTCAAGTCAAAATTATTATTTTGCCCACAAGCCCTAGGCTAGAGTGGTGATTTCTAGTTGGGTGGTTAGTAACCCGCCACGTTCGTCTCGAGCTCTGACAACCGGGGCTATCAAAGTTAGGCTATCCGAATCACTATCGACTCCTGGGAAACTCCCCGCGACCAGACTAGGGCGAATCCTGGGATCTCGTTTTCTTACCGGTGGCGTAATTTCCCTCTTGTCGTCCGCCAGGAAAATTACGTCACATAAATGGCGCCCGAACAGGGACCAGTGATTGGATAGTCTGATAGTACTTGGTGAGCTCAAGCTAAGATCGCTGTAGCAGCTGACGTCGAGTTGTAAGATTTTAGCCTACGTTAACCGCTCTAGCCTTACAAGTATTCGCCTAGGCCTACTGTTATTTTTTATTCTACGTTAACGTTCTAGCCTAGCATTTCTAGTTTATTAGGTAGCTTAGGCCTACATATTTTCTGGTTTCGTCATTGTAGCCTATTGCTAGCCTAGGCCTATTGGTGTTTAGCGTTAAATATTTTAGCCTATTTGTGTGATAGCCTATTTATTTTAGGTAAAACGTTTACTTTATAGTAGCCTATTGCATTTTAGCCTTTTATTATTGGATTTTGGAGCAGTTTGGACTTGGTCCTATTTTAACAAATTTTCTGGGTTTTGAGTACCTAGTTGGGACTTAGGCTGTAAAAAAAAAAAAAAAAAAAAAATTTTTTTTTTAAAGTTGTCTTGTTTGGACTTATTTAGTGCTGTTTAACGTTAGGCCTGAATTTAAATAGGCCTATTGTGGATTTTCATAATTGTTAATCAATTTCAGCCTTTTAAACTATTTTTGCAATTTGTTTGTCTTGTTGTGCACTAATACTTTGCAGCTATGCCTAACTCACTCCCTGAAATTTTGACAACGACGCCAGGAGTTCTAACCATGGCTGGGGCCGTGGTGACTACGTCATCGGTTATCCCTACCTGCTCGTGTGCATCAACAGTTACTACTACGTCAACGGTGTACACACGACCGGTGACCTCGACCGGCTATACTGCTCCGCTCTACCCAACGGATGATCCACGTGTCGGCTGGATACATGAGCTGTCAAAGCAACAGTTGATGGTGGAGATGGCGCGACACCAATTGCCATCACATGGTACACTGGCAGAAATGCGCAAACGTCTCTGCACGTACTGGCGAAGCAACGCTGGTGCACCGTCTTCTCCAACCTCCCAGGAGGAGGTGTTTACGACTGGCCAGGTGTTAGATAACCAGGCCCGGAGTTCGATGCAGGAGCCTACTCCACGCCCATCGCCTTTCGACTACCGAACGGGGTCAATGCCTCAGCCTACTGCGTGGAGACCACCCGGTACCTATGGACTCGTAGGCCTACCCCCTGCTACGTTCCAGCGTCAGAGCCCACCTGCTGCGGTCACCTCGGCATCACATGAACCCTCACTCGCAGGACTGGAGAACTTGACTGACGCTCGACATGCCTTCGACTTCGCTCCGAGGTCTTCGCTCCCGGAAAATTCTGATGCCGATCCGGTACGTCACACTTTGGACCGCATGCGGCAGATGCTCGGCCTATCGCCCAATGCTGACATGCGCAGCCTAGAGCACACGTTAGCCGAGGTGTTGAACCTCGAACAGCGGGGCTCACGACGTGAGGAGGACTACGCCGAGCTTCCAGTCCACGGGATCGACCCGCTAACCTCCCGATACACAGTCCCGTCTCGGCCAAGGGATGGATATGGAGGTGTCCGGTCTTCGTATGTCC